AATAATACATTGCAATATTGAAATATTGAAATATTTGTTTTGGTTAATTCTTACACTTCTGATTATCAATTTCTAATAAACTTGACACTTAAAAAAAAAGACGCAGACAATTGATCAGCTTATCACAGATTTTTATTGTTGTTAAGTATCATTTGTAAAAATTTCAGAAATATTTGACAAGATTTGACAAAATTATTAACGTTTAACTATTTTAAGTCATAGAATTTGCCAGTGTTTTCAATGTAATTTTCAGTTTTTTCAGTTATATTGTTCTTTTTCCAGAGTTTCTTAACCATGAAAAAGCAGGCAGTGAAGTTTGAGACAGCATCAAGAGCAGCACTCTGTCTTATCCATGTGTACAATACATGATATGTGGCAAGAATTAGGGCATTGTCAAATATTGTGCTAACAGCAACCCATTCCAGAAACCCATTGTAAGGAGTAGTCTGCATCTGGCATTGATAGTAAGGAGAAGTCTTGTATGGGTATATATTGTTTTCCAGATGACAGTTACAGGTAATTTGCAACCTCCTACACAAACTAACTCATATCATCACATATGCCATTTCCTTCGATAGTTAATAATACATTGCAATATTGAAATATTGAAATATTTGTTTTGGTTAATTCTTACACTTCTGATTATCAATTTCTAATAAACTTGACACTTAAAAAAAAAGACGCAGACAACTGATCAGCTTATCACAGATTTTTATTGTTGTTAAGTATCATTTGTAAAAATTTCAGAAATATTTGACAAGATTTGACAAAATTATTGACGTTTAACTATTTTAAGTCATGGAATTTGCCAGTGTTTTCAGTGTAATTTTCATTTTTCTCAAATATATCGTCCAAAGAAAATACTTTTCATTAGACACAGTCAACTGATCAGCTTATCACAGATTTTTATTGTTGTTAAGTATCATTTGTAAAAATTTCAGAAATATTTGACAAGATTTGACAAAATAATTAATGTTTAAGTATTTTAAGTCATGGAATTTGCCATTTCAATGTAATTTTCAGTTTTTTCAGTTATATTGTTCTTTTTTCAGAGTACCTTAACCATAAAAAAGCAGGAAGTGAAGTTTAAGACAGCATCAAGAGCAGCACTCTGTCTTATCCATGTGTACAATACATGATATGTGGCAAAAATTAGGGCATTGTCAAATATTGTGCTAACAGCAACCCATTCCAGAAACCCATTGTAAGGAGTAGTCTGCATCTGGCATTGATAGTAAGGAGTAGTCTTGTATGGGTATATATTGTTTTCCAGATGATAGTTACAGGTAATTTGAAACCTCCTACACAAACAAACTCAAATCATCACATATGCCATTTCCTTCGATAGTAAATAATACATTGCAATATTGAAATATTTGTTTTGGTTAATTCTTACACTTCTGATTATCAATTTCCAAAAAACTTGACACTTAAAAAAAAGACACAGACAACTGATCAGCTTATCACAGACTTTTATTGTTGTTAAGTATCATTTGTAAAAATTTCAGAAATATTTGACAAGATTTGACAAAATTATTAACATTTAACTATTTTAAATCATGGAATTTGCCAGTGTTTTCAGTGTAATTTACAGTTTTCTCAAATATATCGTCCAAAGAAAATACTTTTCATCAGACAAAGTCAACTGATCAGGTTATCACAGATTTTTNAAATTTCAGAAATATTTGACTAGATTTGACAAAATTATTAACGTTTAACTATTTTAAGTCATGGATTGCCAGTGTTTTCAATGTAATTTTCAGTTTTTTCAGTTATATTGTTCTTTTTCCAGAGTTCCTTAACCATGAAAAAGCAGGCAGTGAAGTTTGAGACAGCATCAAGAGCAGCACTCTGTCTTATCCATGTGTACAATACATGATATGTGGCAAGATTTAGGGCATTGTCAAATATTGTGCTAACAGCAACCCATTCCAGAAACCCATTGTAAGGAGTAGTCTGCATCTGGCATTGATAGTGAGGAGAAGTCTTGTATGGGTATATATTGTTTTCCAGATGACAGTTACAGGTAATTTGCAACCTCCTACACAAACAAACTCAAATCATCACATATGCCATTTCCTTCGATAGTAAATAATACATTGCAATATTGAAATATTTGTTTTGGTTAATACTCACACTTCTGATTATCAATTTCCAATAAACTTGACACTTAAAAAAAAAGACACAGACAACTGATCAGCTTATCACAGACTTTTATTGTTGTTAAGCATCATTTGTACAGATTTCAGAAACATTGGACCAGATTTGTCAAAATTATTAACGTTTAACTATTTTAAATCTTGGAATTTGCCAGTGTTTTCAGTGTAATTTTCAGTTTTCTCAAATATATCATCCAAAGAAAATACTTTTTATTAGACACAGTCAACTGATCAACTAAACACAGATTTGTATTGTTGTTAAGTATCATTTGTAAAAATTTCAGAAATATTTGATAAGATTTGACAAAATTATTAACGTTTAACTATTTTAAGTCATGGAATTTGCCAGTGTTTTCAGTGTAATTTTCAGTTTTCTCAAATATATCATCAAAGAAAATACTTTTTTTCAGAGAAAGTCAACTGATCAGCTTATCACAGATTTTTATTGTTGTTAAGTATCGTTTGTAAAAATTTCAGATATATTTGACAAGATTTGACAAAATTATTAACGTTTAACTATTTTAAGTCATGGAATTTGCCAGTGTTTTCAATGTAATTTTCAGTTTTTTTAGTTATGTTGTTCTTTTTCCAGAGTACCTTTACCACGAAAAAGCAGGCAGTGAAGTTTAAGACAGCATCAAGAGCAGCACTCTGTCTTATCCATGTGTACAATACATGATATGTGGCAAGATTTAGGGCATTGTCAGATATTGTGCTAGCAGCAACCCATTCCAGAAACCCATTGTAAGGAGTAGTCTGCATCTGGCATTGATAGTAAGGAGAAGTTTTGTATGGGTATATATATCGTTTTCCAGATGACAGTTACAGGTAATTTGCAATCTCCTACACAAACAAACTCAAATCATCACATATGCATTTTCCTTCAATAGTAAATAATAGATAGCAATATTGAAATATTTGTTTTGATTAATACTCACACTTCTGATTATCAATTTCCAATAATTTTGACACTTAAAAAAAAGACACAGACAACTGATCAGCTCATCACAGACTTTTATTGTTGTTAAGCATCATTTGTACAGATTTCAGAAACATTGGACAAGATTTCTCAAAATTATTAACGTTTAACTATTTTAAATCTTGGAATTTGCCAGTGTTTTCAGTGTAATTTACAGTTTTCTCAAATACATCATCCAAAGAAAATACTTTTCATTAGACACAGTCAACTGATCAACTAAACACAGATTTGTATTGTTGTTAAGTATCATTTGTAAAAATTTCAGAAATATTTGACAAGATTTGATAAACTTATTAACTTTTAACTATTTTAAATCATGGAATTTGCCAGTATTTTCAGTGTAATTTTCAGTTTTCTCAAATATATCATCCAAAGAAAATACTTTTCATTAGACACAGTCAACTGATCAGCTTATCACAGATTTTTATTGTTGTTAAGTATCATTTGTAAAAATTTCAAAAATATTTGACAAGATTTGACAAAATTATTAACGTTTAACTATTTTAAGTCATGGAATTTTCCAGTCTTTTCAATGTAATTTTCAGTTTTACCAAGTATATTGTCCCAACAAACACTTTTCATTAGACACAGGCAACTGATCAGCTTACCTCAGATTATTAAAGTTATTTAATTATGAAATTTTTTTATCTTAATTGACCTGATAGGCCCTCCATTGTTATCAGAGAATGGCAATATATACATGCTCACTCTATATTTTACAGGTTTGTGCATTCCACCAAAATGTAATCTGGAGGATTCATTGTGAAAGCAGTAAATCATTTTAATTAAAATACACTTATATTTGTAAGTCAAATATAATTCAGTTAAAAAGTAATTTGTATCACTATGTCATTGACATTTTTGCAAGTGACAAGTGTCCGTTCACCCCATCATAAATACCACATGTTTTATTTTTTGAAAATGAATAGCTCTGTGCATATGTCATATTGTTAGGTTGAAGAAAATGTATGAAAACATTAAATAGGTTGGTAAATTTTTTGGATGAATTGCATATTTGTCTCATGGACTGGAAATCCGTGGAAGATAGTCAAGATGGTAATAAACAAAATTAGTTTGCCACACCTGTCTCTAGACAAATATATGCTTCATACAAATATGTTAGTTGTTTGACCTATATTTATGTGGTAAAGTTAAAGTGATGTTTTCTTTTTTCTCAGAATGGGTGCCCCCCAAAAACTGCTGACTGACCAGGGGTCAGAAATTTGTAATGAGGTAAATGTCTTGTAATATTATTTAAGTATTATTAATATTATATTAGTAATTAGTATTATTAATATTATATTAATATTAATATTATTTAAGTATTATTAAGTCTTTGGCATAAATTGGAAACTGGAAAGGATACAATCACCATTCGTTTATGTTATGCCAAATATGATAAAGGTTTTAGGGTGAATATTGGCTTCAATCTTGTTGGCATGCCTATAAATGTGTAACTGATTACCAGTGATATCTGTTTCAGTACTTATCAGTTCAGAGCATATGTAATATTGAAAGCCTACTCTGCTTAATTAAAACCCATTTTTTATTATCAATGTAAACTGTTTAATGCAGTAGAAAATGACCTAGTAGGATTATGTTTTTAAAATAAAAAAATGGCCCAAGGCCCCTTAAATATAAAATCCATCTTTGCTTTTTTCAAAGCAATAAAAGATAATAGGGATGATTAATCTTAAACTTGTCTACCATTGTAGTATGTACAAATAAAATTCTTATATTTTGCATCAAAACAATAATCAATGTACTGGCACCATAAAATATGGATAAATTAATAAACGATTGATTTTGTTGATTTTTGATCATTAATTTCTGATTTTGCTGTTGAGGTACACAATGAAAGAAGTAGCAATGCCCAACAAAAAAGACTATAACATGGATGTGGAATTCCAACACCAGCAACTTACTGAGTGACACGCTAAGTTATGCATGTGGGACTTACATGTTCAATTTATAATAAGCTTAATAAGCTATTTCTTATGTTTTTTTTGTTTTGTTTTTTTTTCATGAAAGATTAAGGAGTAGCCCCTTACACTGAGCAACATTTGGTTTCACACAAGTTTTATAAAAGAAAAAAAAGATGTCACATGTAATCTGTTCATAAAAATATTGCAACATTGATAATATTTGTAAAAATGTGTTATCAGAATAGTGATGGCAGCAGCTGCAGTATTCAGGCCTACCCAACTACCAGACTCGGCACCGAATGATCCTGAATTCACCGGTAAATTGGACCACAATATTGTTTTCAAGGTGTTTATCAGTGCGCACTTCGAAGTATAAGACGCAACCCCACTCTTGCCTACATGTATTACGCGATGTGATAGAGATGATCCTCAGCAGGGTTGGAAAGTAATGCATCTCATCTCAAAATTTGTTTCAGGGAATGATACTGTGAAATGCGTAGTGACGCACACCTTGAAAACGGGTAGTGTGGTCCGATTTACAGGTGAATTCGGGATCATTTGGTGCTGAGTCTGGTAGTTGGGTAGGCCTGAGTATTGTAATTTCTGGGGCTAGCTTCATTTATCCTGTGGCTTTGTGCATAGTTAAAGTTTACACAGCAAAATCTTGAACTTTGCTTCTCCCATTAATTCTGAAACATACCCTATTGAATACAATTTCTATAAAATAGATGTATTTTCAGTACATAAAGAACATTGAAAAGTCTCAAGCAAATGACAAGAGATAGTATGAGGCAAAGGAAGGAAAGAATGTGGTAGTATTTCAATTAGAAAGGGGAATGAAAGTTCTGAAGAAAAACTTTCATAAGGTTGGGTGGAAAAGTGGCAAGCTAGAGACAGATTGGATTGGACCATACAGGTAAATCATAATCATCATCCACTTGTTCACTTATTCAGTGCATATATTTATGTCATATTTCATACAAGTTTGATTAAAATTAAATTCAAAGGAAGAACAACTGTTCATTTTGTTCAAAAACCAGATTTTCCTAGGGTAAACAATTTTCTATACTGTTAATGACTCCATTCTGACATTCAAAGTTAGTCCATGTTTTTTGTAAGAATCATATCATGAAGGTCCATCTCGTCAGATGGCAAGCACGGATTCAAGAATAATAGCAATAATCACTGTTTTGGTTGTAAAGTGTTATTCATTATAATTCTAGGAAATATTTACAATGTTTTTATTGTGAAATATTTATTGCATACGAACAGTCGTCATTTCTTAATTTTGACTTAAAGATACAGATATTAGTAGTATATTGGGGGTGGGTGCAAAATAAAATGTAGTTAGCAATTCAGCATGTCAAAATATACATTATCAAAGCTCTATAGTACCACTGTGGCTTGCTTGCATACAATTCTCATAATACATGTAATACTTCTAGGATAAAAAGAATGGACCAGAAGCAGAATGGAAGGGAAAGAGCTTAAAACCAAGGTGCCTTAGTTATATTCACTTGAAACCATACACAGAAGGTTAGTTACTTGTTTCATCTATGCATGACTCCATCTAGTCTAAGACTGGGTTCCCATACTTAGATTGATCTATCTGGATCGACATAACTTCCTGGGGGTTCACGCTAAATTGCTATCAGCTCAAGAGGCTTAAATGTCTGTCACACTTACCGAATCAGCTAGGGGTAAAGGTAATTACCCCCTAACAGCTTTACTAGGCATGACAGACGTTTAAGCTGGTTAGTTTGATAGCAATTTAGTGAGACTCCCCAGGGAGATAGATCAATCCAAATATCTGTGGGAATGGTCCCTAAGTTTGCTGATATAATTAGAGTAAGGCTACATTCCTGCTTGCATAATTGCATACTGTAACAATAGAATTTATGACTAGAAAACATTTCACTAAATCGTATGGTAACTAATTGTTAATTGCTTCTTGGTATACCGAAAATATTAGCTGAACAGTTTCATGTTAGGATATTGCATGTAGGTTTTACTGTACATTGCTTGGTGATGGTAATACAACAAATGAGTAGTTAAAGNACAGATTTTTATTGTTGTTAAGTATCATTTGTAAAAATTTCAGAAATATTTGACAAGATTTGTCAAAATTATCGTCCAAAGAACAAGAGATAGTATGAGGCAAAGGAAGGAAAGAATGTGGTAGTATTTCAATTAGAATGGGGAATGAAAGTTCTGCAGAAAAACTTTCATAAGGTTGGGTGGAAAAGTGGCAAGCTAGAGACAGATTGGATTGGACCATACAGGTAAATCATAATCATCATCCACTTGTTCACTTATTCAATGCATATATTTTTGTCATATTTCATACAATTTTGATTAAAATTAAATTCAAAGGAAGAACAACTGTTCATTTTGTCCAAAAACCAGATTTTCCTAGGGTAAACAATTTTCTATACTGTTAATGACTCCATTCTGACATTCAAAGTTAGTATAGTCCATGTTTTTTGTAAGAATCATATCATGAAGGTCCATCTCGTCAGATGGCAAGCACAGATTCAAGAATAATAGTAATAATCACTGTTTTGGTGGTAAAGTGTTATTCATTATAATTCTAGGAAATATTTACAATGTTTTTATTGTGAAATATTTATTGCATACGAACAGTTGTTATTTCTTAATTTTGACTTAAAGATACAGATATTAGTAGTATATTGGGGGTGGGTGCAAAATAAAATGTAGCTAGCAATTCAGCATGTCAAAATATACATTATCAAAGCTCTATAGTACCACTGTGGCTTGCTTGCATACAATTCTCTTAATACATGTAATACTTCTAGGGTAAAAAAAATGGACCAGAAGCAGAATGGAAGGGAAAGAGCATAAAACCAAGGTGCCTTAGTTATATTCACTTGAAACCATACACAGAAGGTTAGTTACTTGTTCCATCTATGCATGACTCCATCTAGTCTAAGACTGGGTTCCCATACTTAGATTGATCTATCTGGATCGACATAACTTCCTGGGGGTTCACGCTAAATTGCTATCAGCTCAAGAGGCTTAAATGTCTGTCACACTTACCGAATCAGCTAGGGGTAAAGGTAATTACCCCCTAACAGCTTTACTAGGCATGACAGACGTTTAAGCCGGTTAGTTTGATAGCAATTTAGTGAGACTCCCCAGGGAGATAGATCAATCCAAATATCTGTGGGAATGGTCCCTAAGTTTGCTGATATAATTAGAGTAAGGCTACATTCCTGCTTGCATAATTGCATACTGTAACAATAGAATTTATGACTAGAAAACATTTCACTAAATCGTATGGTAACTAATTGTTAATTGCTTCTTGGTATACCGAAAATATTAGCTGAACAGTTTCATGTTAGGATATTGCATGTAGGTTTTACTGTACATTGCTTGGTGATGGTAATACAACAAATGAGTAGTTAAAGAATTCACACCCTGTCCCCTAACATAATTTTTGTAGTGTACAAACATAACCAATTGTTTTGTCCTTTTCAGGGGTTTGGAAAACACCATGACCAAGCCAAAGTGTTTTTTTTTTTTTTTAGATTTTTAGGTTTTAAATGGTCATGACCACTCTCCTATGTGATTTAGAGATTTTATTTTTGTCCGCCTGTAGCTTTAAATTTATATCAGAAAATTCAGATATTACTTTTGCCTTGTAAGCATGCAATGTTAAAAACTGTGTTATAGGTCCAACACAGTTGTCTCCAACTTTTATTATTACAGGAA